ATAATTTCTAAATTATATATTATATAAAAAATTTATATACGAGAATCATATAGTTTAAAAGAGATATTTATGAAATTTTAAGTTATGAAATTTTAATTTTAATTAATAATTGTTAATTTTAATTATTTTAAATAGCATATTATATTTTTTATACCAAAATATTAAATCAAAAAATATTTAATTTTAAATAAAAAATTGATTAGCTTTAATATGATAAAAATCTGTACTTAACGAATGATTTCATTTAATTTTTTAAAAATTTAATTCGCGTTGGAAATTTATTATCATCATAGATTTTTACAAAACAATGATATTTATATGATAATGCTTATCAATTCGAGTGATTTTTTATCGCAATCATCTATTTCTATTAATTCGTGTAATAATCCAAAATAGTATTAATTGATATTAATTAGTGCTAATATTAATTAGTTATTAATATAATCAATGATATAGTCTAATTAAATGACTTCACAAATTTATTCCTTTATATTTTCTAATATTATTGATAATTTACAGTTTTAATACATCCCACAAAAAACGATGTTTTCTGAATTTTATGAATATAATATCTATAAAAGCTCTTCATTACGATTAATTCATGGATTGAGAAATTATCTGTCTTATATTTGCTTAACTATACATATATGCTTATTATGTAAAGCAATCATCATATTATTATTGATTACTATTGCGCAAAGGAAATTTTTAAACAATGAAGTGAAATCATTATGTTTAATAAAGACGAATACTTTTTTCACAGTAATATTACAATTAAATATTCTTCGATATTTTAATATAAAAAATATAACATTCCTTTTAAAATAACAAAATTAATCTTAAAATTTAAAATGTTTTTAAAATCTACATATAAAAAAATTCATGTATTCCTCCTTCTTTTCTCTTAAAGTTTTATTTGAAAAGGCACGTTAAAAATTAATCGAGATATATTTGTAAATTGCATAAATTATTATATATAAGAAATTAATTAAAGATATAATATCTAATATTAAAAAATCAAATCAAAAACAATGAAAGACATTGAATTAAATTTTTAATTTATTTATTTATTTTGAAATTTGAAAAATAAATAATTTTTATATTTAATTATATTAAATAAAAAATTTGTATTTTATCTCGTTTTTAATTATATTTTTTAATATGAAAAAAAATATTTATAAAAAAAACTTGATAACTTTATACTAATTAAATTTTTATTCGCATTAAATGTAATCTGATATAATCTATATAAATTTAAATACTATACTATTGAATTTGCATTAATCAAGATTTATTTGTATTATATAGTTACAAATATTTGTATTATATTATTATTTTAGATATAGTTGCAAATATGTGTATTATATCATTAAATTGAAAAATATTTCAGATTTAACGATACTAAAAAATGTTATGGATCATGATGATAATTATATTTATTTGATTTTGAGATGATTTTGAAAAACCAAAAAAAAATATTTTAATTTTCAAAATAGAACTACACACACACACACACACACACACACATTCTTTTTTTTTTCAAGAATAGCTAATAAAGATTTTAATTGAAAAATTTCCAAAATATTATCGATGTCTTTTCACTTTTATTTTTGAAATATAAATTTTTAAAATTGATATTTTGTCGATATTTTAAAGTCATTATGATGAATAATATAATTGACAGAATAAATTTCAATATCAATTATAAGAATATGCAATAATGATATATATATATATATATTAATCATTCTTTCTTTATATTTGATATGACATATTTAAATAATTTTTACTATTTGCACACAAATTGAAAAAAATTTCTATGTATATATAAAATTTATATCATAAAATTTTTGGTTATTTTTTATATATTTTTGATAATGTTTAATATGAGTTAATATAAGTTATTATAATATTAATAATTATAATAAGTTTAATGTTTAATATAAGTTATTAAATAACTATTTTATTTTTTTATAAATGTTGTATTTTAATATCTAGGTTGCAAGGATAAAAATATGGCTCCTATACTGAAAGATTTAATGGAAACATCATATTTTAAAGTTGTAGTAGTTGAAGATGTTGATTCGGTTGAATGTTGTGGAGCATTAAAGGTAAATATATTACACTTTTTTTTTAACAAATTTATTAATAAGCTTTTATAAATTAAAGCAGAATACAATAGAGAAGTTATTTCAAATATATATACCTTCGAAATTCATATTTCGTTGTATGTAAAATTGTATCTTTCTTTCGTTTATAGAATCGTAATAATGATAAAAAGTTTATATTTTATAAATTTAATTTTTAATATAGAATGTAATAATATGAAGTAAAAAAAATGGTTATTTTGTTTTTTTGTAAAAAATAGAGCAGTATATTTAAACAGATAACAAATATGAAAAAAAAATTACATTTCTGACTTAAATTGAAAATTATTTTAATAATGGAAAAATTTTTAATATTTATAATATTATATATAATATTATATTATATATTATATATATAATATTATATATTATATATTATATATTATATATAATATATTTTAATATAATTATCTATCAAATTTTAATAGGAATTCTACAAATAATATTTCTTCTTTTTTTATTTTATATGAAAAACATTTGTTCAATCTTTTGAATTTTTTTGAAATATATAAAAAATTATTAGACTTATATATTTGATATTATTTCATATTTATTTTATATTGAATTTTAAATTTGAAATCTTTGAATTTTGAAACATTTTTATAATTTTTTTGATACATTTTTATAATTATTTGAAATCTATTTATATGAATAAATATAAATTATGAATAAAAATAAATATAAACAAATATAATACATCACTTCTATACAAATTCTTAATATATTATATGTCAAAATGTTGTTGAAACTACAACAGATGTTACAAGTATTTAAAAAAAAATACATATCGATCTGAAAGTAAAAATTGATAAAAAAATATTTTCTTCCTCTTTTCTTTTTTTTTATATTTCATTAAAAAAGTAATTAAGAAATATTATGAAAATGAAAAATATTTTTCGGAAATTTTTAATTAAATAAATTATTGCAATATTAAGAATTTAAAAATATATAAAGCGAATAAGATATAAATATAATAATCATAAAAAGGATATATCTCGAAAATATATCCTAAATATATTTTTAATTCAAATAACTTTTCAATCAAATTTATATTAGATAATTTTTAATTATAATAAGTTGTGGAGTAGCAGATTTAATTGCAACTTGTTACGGTGGTCGAAATCGTAAAATTTGCGAAGCATTTGTAAAAACGGGCAAGGCTAATTTAAATATATATTTTATTAAATTTTAATATGCATATGAATTATTAATTTTCAATATATAAATAATTATATAATAAGACATATATAATGTACATATATCAATATGTTTAATTTAATTTAAAATTTAAAAAATAATAATAATAATAATAAATATATAAATAGATAAAAATATTTTTTAAATTCTTTCAATTTTTTTTTTTTTATTAATCGGCAGATACATTCATTTTTTTTTTTTTTTAATGAACAGATTTTATGATAAAAATTTGTTTCAATTAAGAATTTAATATTATTCTTTATATAATTTTGTGAAGTTAAAATAATATTTAAATAAATAAATTTTTATTTTTATATAGCAAATTTAAAAAAAAATATATATCTCATAAGATTATAATACGTGATAATTCGATTATTTAATCATGATCAAACTCGCAATAATACTTTTCTTAATTTTTAACATTTTTTCATTAATTAAAAAGTTATATATGTATAATATAATATATAATATAATGGAATTAAAAATTGCATATCAAATACTATTTAATTTTATTTTTCAACAGAATATAGTAGCCTGCGGCGCTGGTTTCATCGATGGTTTAGGATTCGGTGATAATACAAAAGCTGCAATAATAAGATTGGGCCTTATGGAAATAATTAAATTTGTGAATATTTTTTTCCCTGGTGGAAAAAAATCTACATTTTTTGAAAGTTGTGGAGTAGCAGATTTAATTGCAACTTGTTACGGTGGTCGAAATCGTAAAATTTGCGAAGCATTTGTAAAAACGGGCAAGGTTAATTTAAATATATATTTTATTAAATTTTAATATTTATTAATATATAAGTTACTTTTAATTACTATATACTGAATGAAATTGTAAGAACAATAAGTTATTCATATATAATATTACTATAAATATAATAATTTAATTTATGATTTAACTATTGATTTTACAAATTACATATAACTTTATATATATATATTATAAATTTATGCACATGATAGGAGACTAAATAATATATTATATATTATATACTATATTATATATAAATATATATAAAAAAATGTATAATGTATTATTTCCTCTACAGAAAATCTCTGAGTTGGAAAAGGAAATGTTGAATGGACAAAAGTTGCAAGGTCCTTTCACTGCTGAAGAAGTAAATTATATGTTAAAAGCGAAAAATATGGAAAACAGATTTCCCCTTTTTACAACTGTACATCGGATTTGTATTGGTGAGATAATGCCTATGGAACTAATTGAACACTTACGCAATCATCCAGAATACATGTAAGCTCATTGTCTCCATTATAATTAATGATGGATTAGTTTCAATCAATATGTATATATATACATATCTAACATTTATTTTAGAATAATAGAATAATATATTGTAAAAAAAATTTATTTTTGGAATTAATATATAGTACTATTACATATAAATGTAGAAATTCGACGAAAGACATGTAAATATGTGATATTTAGTAAATTTGATTTGATAATCATAGAAAATATGGGATCTAAGCTTTAGTTTATTTAAAATTTTGTTTGTTTAAATTAATATTTTACAATATTTAAAATTTTATTATAACAATAATCTCTCTGACCATGGTCCTATTTATTTACATTGTTATATATTTCATCATATGTAAAAATAATTGATAATCTGTAAAAAGTATCTAAATATTATTACAATAATATGTATAATGTATATAATACATGTACATACCTGTAAATAGTTATTATTTACATCAAAAAAAAATTATGTATCTTTTTTCTAAATGCAATACATATATACAATAAAATATTTTATAACTTCTGTTGAATAAAATTTTTTTTTAATTAATAATACATTATATATAATTATATACAAAAGAATTTTGATAATTCATTAAAAAAAAAAGCATAATATATTTTTTTATATATAATATATCTATATATTAAAAATGATATAAATATTTTTTTTGTATAAATATTTTCATATATTTTTGTATTAGAATATTTTAGAACAATAATACAAGGCGAAAAAAAATATACTTTAACATATTTTATTTATTTTATTATTTGATCAATCTTTATATAATCTTTATATAATCATCTATATGTAAGATGTAACAATAAAATTGATAAAAGTTGAATAAATATAAATGAATTGTTTAAATATTTTTAATCAAACGTTTTCAAAATGTTTTATGGATATAAAAAAGAAAATAAGATATTTATATATTTTATTATATAAACATGTTTATATAATTTGAATTTTATATTAGAAATTTATTATGTTCAGTATAATAAAAATATTAATTTTTTTAATATCTATTTATTTGCACAAAAATATATTTTTAAATCTTACAATATTTAATAATTATATTGATTATTTTTTATTATAATAATCATAAGTTTATTAGTATTTTTTTTTATATTTTATATTTTATTATAAATTTTCAAAAGTATTTTAAGTTTATATAAAATCTTTTTTTATTACCTTTTTATGTTTTTTATTTTATCTTTTCCATTTTATATTCATAAAATATTTTTGAAAAAGTTTAACAAAAGAAGTTGAAACAATCTGCTAAATCATTATTATGTATCATTATTTTCTATGAAAATGTATGTATTATTGTATTAATGTTTTTATGATGTTACAAAATTTTTTTATTAATCTTTCTTTTTATTATTAAGAAATTAATATTTTCATCAATATTTCATAAATAAAATTTGTACATGAGATATTTTTAAAACTTCATTTTTTTTTTTAAACAGAGATGAAACAAGAAATTATCAAGAATGTAAATGCTCTATATGAACTACGCAAATCATCTAAAAAATATTAAAATTTATATAAAAATGATTTTTAGTTTTATATGTATAATATGTATCGCCTTGATAATTTTACTAAAATGAATTTAAGAATCGAAGAAAGAAAATATTATAGAAGAGGAAATATAAGGACCATGGATTTTTATAAACATTATAATTTTGCCATAATAATTGCCAAAGACATTATTAAATTATATAACATTATATAATTTAAATTGTTATTGCTTATTCTCTGTTTTACTTTTTTTTTAAAGCTTATATTTTATATTAAAAAATAGCAATAATGAATATAATAATTTTGGCACACCCTTAACAAAATTATTTAATCATGTAATTGTTTTTTTAGCTGCATATATGAATATGAAATATATACATATTTTATTCATAAAATAAAATTATAAGTATATAATACATTTAAATATATTTTGTATTGTGCGTTATATTTTAATGAAAATTTTATGAGAATTGTTGTATTTTAGAAATTAAGAAAAATCTACAAACAAATGTTTTAAATATTTCGATTTTATGTTGATAAATTTCATTAATTTATTGTGAATTGTTGTACTAAAATTAAAATTAATTTGAACAGTGTAATATAGACATAACAAATATATGACTATTACTTGTTAATTGATAAATTTTTGTTTAGAATTATATTTGTCCTTTTTCCAAAGCCTTTAATTCCAAATAATAATTTAGTCATTATTAATAACATTATTTTTTTTTTTAATGTAATATATTTTTTTATATAATATATCCTATTACATATTGTAATATAAATTCAGTAATTATAATTAGATACTATACTATATTTACATATTTAAATTTTGATATATTTAAGGGTGTAAAAGCGTAAAATATAATTAAAAATGCACAAAAGATTCATAAATTTTAATTATATTTGCTTCGTATTTAGGAACAACGACGTTAACGCACCAATACTACAATTACTATCACCAAGATGTCACCTATGAAGATTATTTGGAAGACATAAAAGAAGATTTACATTATTTCGATTTTAAAAACTGTTTTTATTTAAAGCATAGATTTCCATATCTACATTTTGATATGGACAATGTAACAATAATTACAATGACTTATATAACACAGTGATAAAAATTTATGAATAATTGGATACTGGATAAATTTTTTTATGTTTATTTAAAAATAATAAGTTTTAATAATGGGTGCTATGCTACTTTACATCTTTGATTATTATTTTGCAAATTAATATAATCCGTTTATTTTTGTATATTCTTATATTTTTATTATTTTATATTTCTGATTTTTGTTTTTATTTTAATTAATATTATGTTATATTAATATTTCTTAATATTATGTTCAGTAAGCGGTATTGAAAATTTTTACTTCTTTTCAAATTTAAAATTTAAGATTATGTTATAATATAGTTAAAACCTTCAAGATATCATCCTAAGTATTATTATTAAGCAATTGCTAATTTTAACATTCATTCTGGCTACGGTTTGCTGTTACGTTTATATTGGCCTTGATCCAGAACAATGAATGCCAACCGTTAGAAAATAATTTGCGATCGTTACTAAGGTCAATGAAGGCTGAAGTTAGTTTGTAAGTTAATCGGTCAGTCAGTCAGTCGTACATCAGCGTTTGAAAATAATCTAATTTGTGGTACTTTGTGCAGCATTCTTATACCCTCGTGAACTTATAAATTTTGTATCATTTATACATTAAGATACCAAAATGGCTACAGATGCAAAGAAGAGGGTGTGCATTGTAGGAAGTGGTAACTGGTATGTGATGCGAATTTCTTTCTTTCTTTTATTTCTTATATTTATAAAATGAATCAAAATTACGTGCCAATTTTATCAAAATCATAATATCATCTTAAAAAATCATATTTTATTATATTTTTAATCAATTATATATGTTATTTTTATATTTATATTTTATTTTTAATTTTTACAATTTTTTTATTTTTTTATCAATTTATTTTGTATTACATACAATTGCATTTATATACAATTTCAAAATTATCCTTCAAGTATTATTAATTATATATATTTATATAAAACTGACAAATTAAAATAAAATAATTATACCAGTAATCGTTTATTTTAATTTAATTTTTATACTTTAGGGGCTCAGCTATTGCAAAAATTATTGGTGCCAATGTAGTAAAATTTAATAATAAATTTGAAACACGCGTAACAATGTACGTTTACGAAGAAATAGTGAATAGCCAAAAGTTGAGTGATATTATCAATCAATTACATGAAAATGTGAAATATCTTCCTGGACACAGACTTCCAGAAAATATTGTAAGTTTTGTTTAATATTTCGCATGTCTTTTTTTTGAGTGTATCATTTTAATTTTCAAGATTATGGGAAGTCTACGAATTAAACATTTTTATTTTTAATTTTGTAAATATTACGTTCAAATATGAAAATTTTTATTGAAAATACAAGTGCACTTATAAATGTTTAATAAAACGATATTTATTCTATTTTGAAAAATTGAAATTTATAACTTATATATATATATTAATATAATATAATTCATTATTAATAAATAATATTTGCATTTTTCTTTTCATTAAATTTGAGAACAAAAAATATATTTATATGTATAATAATGTTTCATTAATAAAAATGATAAAAATGAAAGATTATATTTGTTAATATTGATATTTTATAATAGTAGCAATATTATAAAGATAAACTTTATAAATCGATAATAAAAAAATATGTTCCTTATAGTATTTCTCTAATATACTTAGAATTTGTATTTTTTTAATTTGTAAGTAATATTAATAATTACAATTATTTCGCTGAGCATAGTAATTATAAGTCATTTTTTTTATTTTATTACATATTTTAATTATATATAAATTATAATATCATAATATAAATTAAAATATGATTAAATATTTTTGTATTAAAAAAATTAAAATTAAAAAAAAAGGAAGATGCATTTGTTTTTGATTTGCCTTTACAAACTAATATAATGTCCATAATTTTTATTTTTGTTTATTTATAATTTGATAGGATGATTGATAAAATTTCATTATAATTTAATTGAGAATTGATATTTTTATAATTTATATCTAAGATGAGATTTGCAATTTTTATTATTTTTCGAAGATCAGACCTAAGTCATTGAATTGATTTAACTCTACAATAGCACAATATTTTTTTTCTAAAAAATAGAACGATTACTTAATATTTTTCCAGTTGGGATATATTTCGTATATTTATAATACAAAAAATTTTGAAAAAGTTCATTAATATATTTAAAAATATCTATTTTATAAATTATATAAACTATATTTGTAATAATTTTGCGATACAATAATGAAAATGAATATTCCATTGATGTAATGAAGAATTTTGATGTGCTACTGCAGGATTAATTTTTTTTCGCTTTAATAAAATTTTATTATATTTCATGAAGAATTCAATTAGAATTTTGTTTTAGAAAATGATTAGAAAAAATAATATAATAATTGTATATAATAATTCATATGTATGTATATTATTAGTATGTCCAGTTTTTTAATATTAATATAAGAAATATTTATTATGTATTTATTATTTATTTATACATAATGAATATTAAAATAAAATTAATACGTATGATCTATCATCATACATATATAACAATGAAAAATTTAATTTTATGTATAATAATATTTTTCTTATTATAGAAATCAAATATATTAGTGAAAATAATAGAAGAGAAAGTTTATTATATATTGTATTAAATAACTATAAATAAGAAGCATGATAATTTTTAATGGTATCTTAAATGAAAGATAAAATTTTATATAACTTTATGATAAATATAAAATATAAAATAATATATCATATATTTAATATAAAACTTCATTTATGAATATGTTTAATAATTTGTGGTTGTGCGGACATAAACCTTGCCAGAAGGCATTGACACTTTGTCCACTCCTTTGGGGAAAAGTTTAGGAAGTTCTTCGTCTTTTACAGTTGGAAGAATCATAACTTTTTCACCTGGCTGTAAATAAAGAATGAAATACAATTTTAATTTTCATAAAATTATAATAAAAGAAATATTAAATATAAATATATAATAATATAATAAATATTGAATATTATTATCTATTAAAATATTGTTTAAATATTTAGAAATAGAAACAACAACTTTGAAAAAAGGAAATAATTTTTCTTACCACCCAGTTAGCAGGAGTTGCTATTTCCGGTCTCTTATCGACAAGTTGCAAGGAATCTATAACTCGCAAAATTTCGCTAGAAATCATAAATATATTATTAATTATATATTTATACTTATATACTTATACTTATAATATAATATGATCTTTATTTTTATATCAAAGATACAAATATATAATTTGATTACTTATGAAAATTTATATATAAAATATTAATATATTATGGATGCCTTTACACATTATGAAATATGAAAGATTCAAACAAAAAGAAAACGAATATTTAGAAAAATTTTAATATTTTATTTTAGGAAAATTTTAATTTTGAGTTTAATATTTTTTCGAATGTTTCTATTTCTTTATAAATTAAATTTAATTAATTAATAAAATAAATTTAATTAATTAATCATTATAAATTAAAATTTCTTTTGAATTTTATATCTATAAGAAATTGAGGTATATATAAAAAATTTTATTTTAATTAAAATAATTTTTAATTAAAATAAATTTTCTTTTTTTGACAAATATTAAAATTTAATTTTTTATGTAATAAAATAATTCTCGAGATCGATATTTATCAATACTTGCTTCAAAATTCGATTTCAATATTTTATCATTAGAATTTGAAATTAAGGATAAAAGAAAAACAAAAATTTCATATTTTTATTCAAAAAAATAATGTAATTTTCTGATATAAAGATAATGATATAATAAAAAAACTTACTCTACATTGCGTCCAGTGGATGTTGGATAATGCATTGATAAACGTAACCGATGATCGGGGCTTATAATATATAAAGCACGAACAGTTAACGCTTGTTCTGGATCATCTTTGCTAATTTCATCGATCATATCTAATTTCACTGCCAAAGTGCGATCATGATCAGCAATTATCGGATAAGGAAATGTTCCAGGTATATCTTGACAATAAGATTTGATATCCTATAATAAAAATAATATATTTGTAATTTGTAAATATTATAATATTGCAGATACATATTTAAAAATTCATTTACATTGTGAATATATATACTTAAATACTTAAATGAATAAATTTATCTTAAACGAATAAATTTTTGAATAATAAATAAATAATATATTATAATAATATAAATGATATAATAATATTTTCGAAACAGAAACTCATATATGTTTAAAAAAAAATTTATTTTATCTTTAGTAAGATATATTATGATAAATATAATTTCTTTTATATAGAAAAGCTTCGAAATGATCGAAAGCTTCGATATTTAACGAAATGATCACAAATATAAACAGTTCATTGTTAGCTATAGATAAACTTCATATATTCAATAAATGTATGATCAAATTTCTAAAAAAATATAGAAAAATGCTATGCTTATCATAAAATATTTTTTTTGAAGTAAATTTTCATTATTTGATTAATGCAATTTTTTGAGCAAAATTAACATGTGTTTATTAAAAAGAGATATTTATTTTCAGAAAAACACAATATCTTTATTTATATTTATATTATTGTCTCATTAAATATTGTAAAATATTTGTAACTTACATTAACCCAATCAACGTGATCTTGTAGTTTATCGACAGAATGAGCCAAAAGTTTTGTGTTTCGACGTTTAAAATGAGGTTGATGCACTGCCAAACGTCCTAATTCAGTGGTGCAAACAGGTGTAAAATCGGCAGGATGGGAAAATAAAACAACCCATCTATAATTAACAAGTGCAAAAAAAATAATAAAAGTACTTATATAAATTTGCATTAATACAGTTTATAAATATATCATAATTTTATAAATATAATATAAATACAATTGATTTTAAAACTATATAATACATTTCATAGTATATTTTATGAAAAATTATATATTAGTAAAAAAATCAACTTGATATCTTCAATGATAGTCTAATTATTTAAGAAGAGAATAGAGCCAAATGTTTTTATAATCAAACTCATATCTCAACTTAATAACTGATCATTTTTCTTATCTCTATTATATTTATATCTATTACTTTTCTCATTATTCTATTATTGTGTATAATATGCACTATATATGCATATTTCTATTTATTATAGTAACTTATTATGGTAAATTATTTATTTTGTTTTTATTATATTTATTATATCTATTATTTTTTTTATTATTCTACTACTATTATATTATATTATATATTATTATTATTCTTGTCTATTAATTATCTAATTACATTTTAACTAATTAAAACTAGAAGATGTACTATCTGTATACACATATATATATATAAAAGATACATAGTGACTTAATAAAGATAAACTTAGATAAAGTTATTTATCTAATATTTTAATACCAAAAATATTATTTCTTTTTCTCTGATTTCGTAAGTTTAATTAATAATCAATCTTAAATAATGTTAGATTATTTGTATCCAGTTTATGATACAATTAAACTAAGCAGTAAAAGAATAATACATAATATATTGTTAGCATATTTTCAATTTATACTTAATAATATTTCAATTATATACTAATCATTATGAATCAGTAATTTATGAATCATTAAAATATGAGAAATAAAATTTGTTTATTATTTTATTTCATAAATATAGGAGTAAGAATTATTTTAATAAAACATGACTTACAATAAATTGTTAAAATATGTATATATTATTAAAATTATTAAAATGGATTATAAAAATTAATAAAATAAAATCACTAATTAAAAATTAAATATATTTGTTATTTTACTAGCACTTTTGACCTAATCAATATTTTGTGATCATTAACAAAATATTACAAAAATATATTTATTAAAATTAATAAAAAATAAAAAATTATTCATAACAATCTTTCAATACACATGAAAAATAAATGTATTATGTAAATCTACACAACTAATAATAATAATAAATATGATATGATAAGATGAAAATAACTTTATATCAATACAAAAATATAAGTGATGCAATTGAAAAATAAAATAAATGAAAAATAATTGAAAAATAATAATAACAATAAATAACATGCAATTTATATTAATTTCCAATGTAAAATTTTTAATATTACATATTTTATAAATATGTAATATTTTTTAAATTTTCTAACAAAATAAAAATTCAAAAAATAAAAAATTTCATTTTTATAGAAAAAAGCTATTATTAAGTTAAGGATAAAATAAATAAAAAATACATAATTAATAAACAAATGATCTTAAAATTTTTTTTATAAAATTAGTATATTGCGTCATGTAAATATCGGTATTATACAAGATTTGTTCAAATTTGTGAACTATATTGTATTCATCAAAATCGATATTATGTAATTACACAATATATGAAGATTATTTATATATTATATTATATTATAGGTTAATTTATAAATAAATTATATAAAATATAAATAAATTTATATATTGTATTGTATATAATAAAATTTAATTAATTAAACACAATTAGATATTAATAAAAAAATTATTATTAATATAATAATTAATTTAATTAATAATATAAAATCAATAATAAAATAAAACATTATTGATAAAATATGTATAATAATATCACATTATCTATCTAATGAAATAAGAGAATAACATAGGTGAAATTATATTATACTATAATTAGAGCATCTATTATTAGAGAAATTATCTTTACTTTTTGTAACCTTGGTTCTGGTGATCTAAGAGTAAGAATTCAGAAATTTCAAATATTCAAATTTTCTAAATCACAATCAAATACAAATATTTGAAATCTATGTTTATATTATAATATGTTTATGATTTAAATAAATTTTCCTATGATATTTCGAAAATAAAAATAATAAAATAATTAAAGTGATAGATTCATTATTTCATTTCAAATAAGGTGTTTAATTCTATAAACAAAATTATTTTCGTAACAATAAAAAACATTAATCACATTATTGATTGCAAAGAAATCTTTTTAATATTGATTTTTTTAACTTCTATCGAATTCTAAGCCCAAAAGCTATTTGTGTCGAAATCTAAGCTAAAAAATTGAAGATCCATCTTCTAGGAAAATTTCTATTAGATTTTTTTAAAATTTAAAATTATATTAAAATCAATTGAATGATTATATTAAATATTTCTCAATATTAAAAAAATTTTAAAAGCAATTCATAACATAAAAAAGAATTTTATGAAATTAAAATTATATGAAAAATTCAATTAGAGGATAATTCTACTTAGAATTATTAAAAATTAATCTGAAAATTATGAAGATAATTTCGAATAAAAATAAAATAAAATAAAATGAAATAAGATCATTTATATATGATTGATGAAAAATATGTTCATACAATTGACTATCAAATTATTTAAGAATATATTATATTGTATGTTATATTATATATATATATACAAAAAGAAAAAAAGAATTATTCTTCTTTAACACATTATTTATTTGACATATCATAACGTGCCGATGATGACTTTTTATGATTTTGTAAAATACATTTGATGCTAGTGAATGCATAAGAAAAATAAAAACAAAATTTTTAAAAATCTTATGAAATAATTATAATAATTTAGATACACATACATAATTGTTTATGTTTGTTATGTTTTTTTATTTGATATGTAACGTGAGTATCACATACGACTTAATAATAATAACAACAATCTACGCAATTTCTAATACTTATCATATAAAATTATTCATAGTATTTTAAATTAATACTAGACAAAAGTAAAGGAAAAAATAATCAAATATAATTAAACTTACGAATCTGCTTGCCAATCGTAAAAGTTAATTTGTCCTTGAGTAGTATCTGCTTCAAAATTCGGCACAATAGAATTAATTCTCATGATTGTTTTTTTGAAATTTATTCAAGCGTATCACACTTGAAACAATAATTCGCAAGAATTTAATACGCCACTCCTAAATGTTATTGCAATATATACAATGTAGAAATTGCGCACTAGCATTACTATTTAAGCGTTTCCCCTCTACTTTCCATAGGCGTAACTGATGTCACATTACTTATGTATGTACATATGTCTACTTATGTGTTTTGAATGGTAAACATATTATCTTTTTATAAATATGTGTTGATTTTGATAATATGTAGGAGGAAACTAAAAAAATTTTATTTATGATAAATTTTACTATATGCAAAAAAAAATTTTTTAAACATTCTGTCTAACAATTAGTATTTTTATAATTTAATATGTGATTGCAATTTGCAGAAATTATTAATATTTAGAATTGTGATTATACATATTTATGTAATAACGTATACATTTTGTAAACAAATTTTATTTTATGTTTGTTTTCAACTTGCCTGTTAATTATATTCATTTGCACTTATATACTGATCATAAAAGTATTAGTATGCAATTTAATAGGAAATTAAATTTTGAATAAAAATATTTTAAGAAATATATTAATAAATGTTTATCTTAAAAGTTTTTAAAAAATTTTATTAAATATTTTCTTTTTTTTTTTCTTTTAGAGAAAATAAACATTAGATAGATATACAATACAAAATACATAGACAGATATACATAACAAATTTTTTTTTAAGAAATTAAAGGAATTTCTAAAAAAAATAAATGATAAATGTATAATAGAAATTTATAATTTATTTACATGTAATGTAATAAAGATTATATATTTTATTATAAATTTATATATTATCTATTATATACATATATATATAAATATAAACTATTATTAAATTTAAGTTATATCAGAATTTTTTCTTTCATTCAACAAACTTATATAAACATAATACTATCTTGATTCAAGTACTTATTTCCTTTGCACAAACTGATATTAAACCTACTGCCATTGAGAAATATTTGTGCATTAAATAGATAACATTAAATAATAGAAACCAATTCAACAGATTTGAATGTTACAATAAATAACATTTATCAAGTATAATAAAATTTAATATTTGTCAAGTATACACATTATTTTTTCACAAAAATTTTTTAAAAAAATATTTACAAATGTTTAGTAGAACTTTGTTATTTAGAGTTATTAGTATTTATTAAATACCAAACAAACTTATATTTTAAAAATATTTAAAACATAAGAAATGGCAACAAAATTTTAAATAATAAAGCATAAAACATTAAGTTAAAAAATCATAAATTATTATTCAATTACATGTTTTTATTTTACTCTCAAAAATAAATTATTTTTAAAAACATTTATTTATTTTTTGATTATCTTTTAATAAAAACTTTTCGTTTTAAATAGTATTATTTTGCTAAATAATCATCGTAATTTTTATTTTTTCAATATAATATATTCTAAAAGTAAAACAAACATGATAAAATTTTTAAAATTTATTATCATATATAAAGAAATTTATAAAACATTTAATAATTAAAAGTGTGACAACTATTTTCAATCATTTTTACATACTGTTATATAAAATATATAATTACATAAAATTATTAAATATATAAATTATATTATATATATTATATTATATAATGTTATTATTATAAATAATATTATAATTTTATAATCGAAAATGTTATGATCGTAAAATAATAGTTTTTTATGAAAATTTATCATTTGGTTCGATGGAATATTTCAAATTTCAAATTCAATATTTTAAAAATTATTTATCCTTTTATTATGAAGAAATAAATGAAATAT